AGGGGGGATAAAAAGGGGGGAATAAGAAGAGGGGAGGGGGGAATAAGAAGAGGGGAGGGGGAATAAGAAGAGGGGAGGGGGGAGTAAGAAGAGGGGAGGGGGAGTAAGAAGGAGGGGAGATAAGAAAAAGAGGGGGGTAAGAAGAAGAAGGGGTGAGTAAGAAAAAGATGGGGGAGTAAGAAGAAGAAGAGGAGGGAGTAAGAAGAAGAGGAGGGAGTAAGAAAAAGAGGGGGGAGTAAGAAGAAGAAGAGGGGGGAGTAAGAAGAGGGAGAGGGGGAATAAGAAAAGGGGGAGGGCGGAGTAAGAAGGAGGGGAGGGCGGAGTAAGAAGGAGGGGAGATAAGAAAGAGGGGGGTAAGAAGAAGAAGAAGGGGTGAGTAAGAAAAAGAGTGGGGAGTAAGAAGAAGAAGAGTGGGGAGTAAGAAGAAGAAGAGGGGGTAAGAAGAAGGGTGAGTATGAAGAAATGGGGGGAGTAAGAAGAAGAAGGGGGAGGAAGAGGAAGAAGAAGGGGTAAGAAGAAGAAGGGGGAGCAATAAGAAGAAGGGGGGTTAAGAAGAACAGGTGGGGGAGTAAGACGACCAAGGGGGGAAGTATGAAGAACACAGGGAGGAGGGGGGTAAGACGAACACAGGGGGTGTGAGGAGAACACATAGAGGGAGGAGGGAGAAGAGCACAGGGAGGGTGGGTGAGTGTGAGAAGAGACCGCTAGGGGAGGGTGGGGGAGAGGAGAGACCACTAAGGTGCAGGGGAGAGCTCTACGGGACAGAAGGGGCAGCTCTATAGGACAGGGGCCAAGACAGGGAGCTCTTTCACACTACGCGCGCGCACACACACACAATGCATCCCTATACATACACAGAAACACAACATGCTTCCCTTACACACAGAGAAACACACAATGCATCCATTACACACACACACACAATGCAACCCTTACACACAAAGACAATGCATCCTTTGCACACATACACAGAAACAGACAATGCAAACCCGTACACACATATTTCTTACATACACACAGAAACACAATGCATCTCTTACACTCAATGCACACACATACAGACACACACCTTGCAACCCTTATGCATACAAACACAGATTCACACAATGCATCCCTTACACACAACCAGAAACACATAATACATCCCTTATACACAAATACACACTGCTTCCACTACACACAAACACACTACATCACCTGCACAAACTGGTAACCCTATACACTACATACCATAAGCACACATATTAGATCCTCTACAATAACACATAACACATCCCCTACACACTCCACTCCCTGTGAGCGAACTCATGGGTGGGCAGTGGCGTCTCTAGGATTAATTTTTCGGGGGGGCACATGGAGGGCCAGTGACAAAAGTAGGGGGGCACATTTAACCCCGCCCTCGTCGCAGTTTAACCCCGCCCCTGTCGCATGTTAAGCCTCCCCCCCGACACAATGTGTTTTGTTTTTTTAATAATACCTGGTGGAGGATTCATTATTTTCCACCAGGGATTATTAAAAAAACAAACACATTATCCTTGATACAGTGCCATAGTTGCCAACATTTGAAAAAAAATTTCCAAGGACATTTTGCAACACAGTTATCAATTACTGTCTGGGTATAATATCCCTGGACAGTCAGTGCTCTCTGTATAATACAGGGTTGTGTGTATAATAAATTGGGACACTCAGTGCTCCCTGTATAGTGCTGCTCTCTGTATAATACAGGTCTGTTTGTGTATAATATCGCAAGACAGAGAGCATCACTATACAGGAAGCACTGACTATCCTGGGATATTTTATACACACAGATCTGTATTATACAGATAGCTGAGTATATACCCCAATCTCTAGACTACTAGTACCTGTAAACAGCAGCTCCCAGACGCGTGTAACAGGGCTAAAGTGTGCGGCAACTCACACAGATTATTCAGCGGTAAAGTGCACTCGCCGGCAGAGCTAAACTGGGAATCCCTGGGAATCCAAAGCAGCCCTGGAAAAAAAACGTATGCCATTCCTACAAGTCAAAATATATATATATATATATATATAGTACAGTAAGCACACAAGCTCACTGACATGCGCAAATAGGCTTACTCTCTGACACACACAAGCTTACTACAGACACTCACTTGTATAAACAGAAGGCTCACTACAAAGAAGTTCAGGGACACACACACAAGCTCACTAAAGACAAGCTCACTGACACACACACATGCTCACTAAATAGGAGCTCACTGACACACACAAGCAGTACCATTTTAACAGAGTTAAGGGCCCCTGGGCAAAGCAATGCACTGGGGCCCTTCCTACACAACAACTGAATTTTAATTATTGATAGACTGCGGAGTCCATACACACACACAGACTGCTGAGTCCATACACACACACACACACACACACACAGATTGCTGAGTCCATACAACACATACACACACACACAGTACACACACACACACAGACTGCTGAGAGTCTACATACACACACACACACAGACTGCTGAGTCCCACACACACACACACACTCTGCTGAGTCCACACACACACACACACAGACTCTGCTGAGTCCATACACAACTCTGCTGAGTCCACACACACACACACACACACAGACACAGAGTGCCCATACACACACACAGACAGACTCCCTGTATGGGAGGCAGTGTGTGTGCCTATATGAGAGCAGTATAGGGGGCAGTGTGTGTGGCAATAATGTGTGGGTGTATGTGTGTGTATAAGAGTCTATAGAGGCAATATGGGGCAATAATGTGTGTATAGAAGCAGTATAAGGGAGACAGTGTGTGTATAAGTATGGGGGGTGTGCAGGGTGTGTATAGAGGCTATAATGTGTGTGTATAGGGCAATGTGTGTATGGTATAGAGGCAATAATGTGGTGTGGTGTAGCTTATGGGACAATTTGTGTCTATAGAGCAATGTGTGTGTATAGAACGAAAATGTGTGTACTAGAGGGCAGAGAGTGTGTGTATAGGGGACAATGTGTGTGTGTATAGGGGGGGGGAGCAATATGTGTGTGTATAGGAGCAGTAGGGACAGTGTGTGTGTATGGGGCAGCATAGGGGGGAGGCAGTGTGTGTATATGGGGGGCAATGTGTGTGTATAGGGCAGTATGGGGAGACAGTGTGTGTGTATGGGGTGTACAATGTGTGTATGGGAGACAATGTGTGTGTGTATGGGGGGCAATGTGTGTGTGTATGGGGGCAGTATAGGGGACAGTGTGTGTGTGTGTGTGTCTATAGGGGGCAATGTGTGTGTGTATGGGGGCAGTATAGGGGCAATGTGTGTATGGGGCAGTATGGGGGCAATGTGTGTGTATGGGGGCAATGGGGTGTATGGAGCAGTATATGTGTGTATGGGGGGCAGTAGTATGTGTGCAATATGTGTATGGGGGCAGTATAGGGGGGCAATGTGTGTATAGGGGGGCAATGTGTGTGTATAGGGCAGTATAGGGGGCAATGTGTGTGTGTATAGGGCAGGAAATATGTGTATGGGGGCAATGTGTGTGTATAAGGGCAGTATGGGGGGAGCAATGTGTGTGTGTATGGGGCAATGTGTGTATGGGGCAGTATGGGGGCAATGTGTGTGTATGGGGGCAATGTGTATTGTGTATGGGGCAGTATATGGGGGGCAGTATGTGTGTATGGGGCAGTATGGGGGAAATGTGTGTGTGTATGGGGCAGTATAGGGGGGCAGTGTGTATGGGGCAGTATAGGAGACAAGGGTGTAATAGCATGGGAATATGGGGTATGGGGCCATGCCATGTGTGTGTATGGGGGGCAATGGGTGTGTATGGGGGCAGTGTGTGTGTGTGTGTGTAGAGTGTGTGAATCCCCCCTAGGCCTACCTGTCACTGGAGGATGTTGTTGGGGGTCAGGCAGCCATCTTCTGAAGCAGCATGGGCTGCTGCTTTACGGCAGGGGCGGGGCTTATCGGCGGGAGGCGGGGCTTCGTTTGGGGGCGGGGCCTGTGCCGGGGAGCCAATCAGTGCTCCCTCCGGCCACAGACCGCCCCCAGCACCGCATTCCCTCGGACTGTCACAGGCTGTTACAGTCCGAGGGAAGCCCATGGCCAGCAAGTTGCCGGCATTTGGGGGGGCCCAAGGGGGGGCACAGCATGATGTAGGGGGGGCCATGGCCCCCTCTGGCCCCCCCCTAGCGACGCCACTGTGGGTGGGTGGAACTTATGAGTGGGCCTTATGGGCATACTCACCGTCAGGCCCTGGGGCCCAGACCTTGAGCTGTGTAAGGGGCCCCAAAAAATGGAGCTGCTTCCAATTCTCCCAGAATATTGAATTTTGTGACCACAGCTGCAAACAGCCTCCAGAGATCCTGTTCTACACCAGACCAGTGGAGCCAAACTGCAGCCCATCATCATCCTCATCTGCTTGTAAGTAGGCAATCTAGTATATTATTAGTGACACTAATCTATAATTTACCTCACATTAAAGGGACACTATAGCTTAATGAAGTAGTTCTGGTGTCTATAGCTGGTCCCTGCAGGCTTTTTAATGTAAACACACACTGTGTGCAGCACTGGCGTTAGTTCATATGGGTGGGGCATTGTGATGTCACATGGGGGCAGCAAATTTTTATTTTGTCTA